CCTACCTCTCTCTCTCTCTCTCTCTTTCTCTCTCTCTCACTGCTGTATTAATAAATTGAGTTTTTTAAGTTCGCCGCAGCGCGCCAACTGGTGTGAAGGCACCTGACATCATTGATCTTCGAAGCAATAAAGGAAAGAGCCAGGGAAGCCTCTTTACCAAGTGAGTACGTAGAAAGATTTTGGGCACCATCTTCCAGTGAGCTACATTATTAGTCATCTTTTGATTACCATTTTATTCTTGCGGAGTCCAACACTCTATTTCTCTTGTTCCAAATAAGGTACTCGAAGAGAAGGAAGAAAGGATTGCACCAGGAACCTTACTCGGAACAACGCACATGTATGTCTGCACCTTAACTACCTTCTTATTTGACTATCATTTTCATCAATTTTAGGACTTATTTTGTGGATTTTCTTATTTCTCATTGTGTGAGTTTTTTTTTTTTTGCCCTTTTGAGAGAGGATTTATCGTGGGGAAACTCTTGATTAGCATTTGAGAACTTTTGTCCTTGGACAGGTATGTGCTTGGGGCAATGGATAAAACTGGTGCTAAAAGGGTAAACAAAGTTTTTCTTTTGTATGTTAGTGTTGCTCTGCAAGCACTTAATGATTTGTTGGCTAGATTTATATATGAAATTCTTTCGACCTCTTTTCAATTATCCTTTGCATTTTGTCATACTGATTCCACATGGTCCTTACCCAGGTTGAGCTACTATTAGGACAAAGTAGATGTCACTCCTAGGTTGGAAGAATTAAAAGCTTTGGATGATGTTACTTTGGCAGCAAAGTAAGGTATTTTTTTTAATAATAGGAGCCCAGATTCTTGATGTATTGTTTGATTCATGGGTACAAAGTTTTATGCGTTTTATGGGAGTGAGTTATTCATTATTGGGTGACATGGTTCATGTATGAGGAAGCAAGGGAAGAAGAGAAGCTATGAAATCGACACAAAGGACTTCAGTGAGATGGTGGCAGATGTTTGTTCTGAGTGCATTCTAGAGTGGGCTGGAATTTTTGTTCGTGTTGTTCTATGGGTTTTCGCTTTTTTTTTCTTTTTTCAATTTTTTGAACTATGTGCAGGCTAAGAAAAAGAGGAAGTGCAGGATGTAGGAAAAAGGAAGGGAAGGCAAATAAGGATTTCAAGTTTAGGCACAAAGCTATGCATCAAATTCGCATAGCATGAATGCTCCCCCTCCCCCTTTGGATATATTCTGTTTGGTAAATATATTGTGAACTATGAAATTCGAAGGATCTGACACATTAGAAGTTCTTATTGACATGTAAAATGTGAAGTTCATTGGTCGATCGTGGGCCATCTTGGTTCGATTAATGAATGGACAGGGCAGCTAGTTGCATTATTGAGGTAGGAGTGATGTTTAAAGGGAATTTGATTACTTAATCCATTCTGAGATCGTCAATGAATCTTAACTGTGCCTGAACTTGGTGGAAAGTTGGAAGTGGTTTTATTTTCTGAAGGGAAGCCGTGACCTATAAAGCATGAATTTCTCAAGGTTCGCCTGTGTGATGCTCTTGTTTTTATGTTTTGTTTCTTCTTTTGTTTCCCCCTTAGTGTCAACGAGCCACAAACACCATCTAAAGAAGCATTATTATCAGCATAAGAAATGTCCATTGTTGGCATGAAATAACTGGGTGCATACCATAGTTAGCGAGCCAAGGAATAATAAAATATTGGCATATCAAAATTTCGGTAATAAATCGGTTCTATTTCGTGAATATTTCAGATTTGGTTAAAAAAATGTAGTGAAAAAATCAGATATGTAAAGATCATAGTTGGTAAGTCTCCGTTTAAAACATGACTTTTTAAATAAATCTTTGATTTTTTTAAATCCGTTAAAAACTTTGTGTTTTTTTAAAGATCTTTAAAAAATTGTTTTTTTTAATAGTACCGATATAAATTTGTATTTTATCTTTTCTAAAAAAATTTATTCCCTATAACTTTATTTATTAATTAATTTAATATTATTGAAATTTGGTGTAAAGATAAGTAAAGTAACAATGCAAGTAAATTAAAAATCTTGATTTAACAAAAAATACCTTCTTCATTTTGTACATATTTAAATAAATTTTGTATTTTTCATAACTTTTATAGTAATAATTTTTTCACAATTTTATCGATTTTCTCGAACTAGGCTCGGCTTTTATCCGTGCTAAAATGAGCTCGGCGCAGCGTGAATTTGTCTCAGCTTGGCTCGCCTAATATCGGCGCAGCTTGGGTAATGTCGGCTCGGCTCGGCTAATATCGGCTTAGCTTGGCTAATGTCGGCTTGGCTCAGGCCAATGAAACTCTTGTTTATTTGAATTAAGTTTAGATATTTTAGTTAAGCCGAGCAGATAAAGCTGAGCCGAGCTGATTTAAGCTGAGCAGAGCCGTTTCAAGCTGAGCCAAGCTAATATAAGCCTAGCTGAACATTTTTTAGGGCCAACATAATATCCATGAAAACAGGAAATTTTAATGTGTTTTTGTTTAGAAAAATCGAATCTTTCTATTTAGACTATATCTAAAACAATAAAAAAAATGGGGCTTAGCTCAAGTGGTTCATACGATTGTGCCTTACATCTCAAACGTTCATTGGTTTGGTGGAGCTGAAGCCTGAATTTTAGTGCAGGTTACATGGTAAAAGCCAAGTTAGAAAAGTGCTTCCATGGGCTTCTTCTGATTTTTTGGGTTTTCAAATTGAGGGGCAGAATTGGAGAAGGGAGCGATGCCATGCCTTCGTTGACTGCGAATCTTCATTTCTTTCGGACAGTGTGCCCGAGTCTCTTGCAACCCTAGTCTTAGCCCATTCCATTATCACCCAAGACCCCCGTTGCCATCCTTCACTCGTTGCCCCAATTCACGGCTCTGGTTTTGCTCAGGTACTCATATGTTGGTAAATGTCTAGCAAAATGCAGCGCAGACAGCTTCCCCAAGCTTCAAATTCTACTCCGAAGATGGAGGATTGGGATCAGTTTTCGTCTCCTTGCTTTCCCTGTGAACGAAGATGAACTGCAGTTGCAGTTAATATTTAATGTTTGGACTGAATTGATAGTTTGCATGCTTCAATATTATAATGCACTAACCATGGTATTGTTGAACCAAATCATGTGAATTATGAACCTTTGTTGCCATTGGATGTGCAAGATTATGTGTGTGCTCATGAGTGTTCCATGCTGATAGACATCAATATTGTGTTAGAAGGCTTATCATCTTGAACTAGGGGGTTTAAAGTAAAAATAGTCAGTCCTTTGGAAGAAGATGAAACATAAAACTAGGTGATGAATGAAACTTTTCTCAATAATGCATATTTACCTTAGGAAATATTCCTTTCTATAAGTCTTTTGTGGCATGCAATGAGAAACAGAGCATCAACATATGAACTTATGCAAATATAGGGCTCACTAGTTCTATGTGGATATGTTATTTACTGAGATGGGAGATGAAGCCTTTATTTTTTCTTGTTGCTTATCCAAATCAGACATCATAAGGGTGATATCTATCAATTTTAGAGTAGTATTTGTTTAAGTCTCTAGGAATGACAGCATATTTGTGAATTTTCAGTTGTACTTTTTAAAATTCACAAGCCTCTGCCATTTATTGGTCTTTCTTTTAATAGAGATACTAGACTATAATGAATGTTTCTCCATGGAGAAAAAAGGACTACGATCTATGGCTTCATAGAGCTATGAGCTATCCTTGGATGCGTCTGCTTCCGAATTAGCCAACTCATCTGCCACTATTTTGACCTTCTGAAAAATGTATTTAACAAGTAATTGAGAACTGGTCTTACTAGTTCTGCTAGTTCTTTAGAAACAACTGATGGCTTTCCAAATTTTCTAGATCACTATGGTAGTATCGAACTTTATAAAACTGGTGGCTCATCTGTAGTTAACCCCATCTTACCACTGTTTTTGTTGGGTTTTGTTTGTGTGTGTGTGTGTGCGTGTGTAGAGAGAGAGAGAGAGGAT